GCGGGAGCCTGGGGAATCGACAAGGGTCGTTTCATGAGTTAGTCGGACAGTCGGCAGCAATGAACACGTGTCGGTTGTTTGTCGGACCTTTCCGTGGTCCAGACAGAACAAACATACGGAGGCGATTGCGAACGAACATGTATCGTGTTCGAGAGCAAATTAAAAATCAATTCTAGAACGTGTAGCGCGAGCGGACGAGCGGGGACACACAAGTTTGTGTGTCGCAACGTTTCTGATTATTGCGCGCGGAAACGTTTTCCGCGCGCATTTATATGCGCAAGAGCAAACGTAACGTGCGAACGTCAAGTAATTTGGTTCTAAATCCGCGAGTTAGCTTGTTGATCATTCGACCAACTCGAAATTAACAAAGCTGTTTGAATTTTAACAACAGCGTCGATCAATTCTTTCGTGTGTGTAGGTTATATAAAAAAAAAATTATTATTTATTATATTAAAAAAAATATTAAATGCAAACAACTGCTGCATATGTGCTGCACATGTGTGCGCGAATTACGAAAGATTAGATCATCTCTTAGATAGAACTTCGCGTCGAGGAGTAAAACTCGGATGCTCTCTCCACGTCGGCGGAAGACCGTGAGAGACCAGTTGACTAGCGCGAAGCAATTTCGGTAGTAAATCCGGAAGAGACAACTCCATTCGTGGAATAAGGATATTACTTCAAAGCGCAAGCTCATCCCGCGCCTTTCATCACGCGACGAGAAATCCCCTGCCCAATCAGAGCAAACCCCGTGTAAACGTTCCGAACTCGAAGTAAATGCTGAATCCGCACGGAGGTGTCAGGTAATAGTCGAGTCGTATCTTCGTCCTCCCGCAAAGAGAGGATGTGTGCAAAGGTGTGGTAGTATTTTCTCTCTGTCTGCATCTTCGTCCGTCTCTCTTTCTCTTTCTCTCTTTTCATGTAATATCCTTCAAACCACCTTTCGCGCGCGCGAACATACACTCTCTTCTTCCTTCTCTCTCTCTCTCTCTCTCTTTCTCTATCTCTGTCTCAGCTTTTCTCTTTTTCTCCTTATTCCTTTTTCTTTTTTTTTTTCTTTTTTTGGTACTTGCAGAGAGAGGAGAGATGCCTTTCCAACGGAACGAAGTTTTCCGGGGGAAGTAAAGTCATTTCGCTCGTGCAATCTAAGTTAAGTGACTTTCGAGAGCCTCGGCGACGAAACTTGCCCCGCCGCTTGCTCCTCTCAGGAGCAACCCTTTCACTTTCCCGTCTCCTCGTCCTCCCGCGCGCGTCCTATCTCTCTCTCTCTCTCTCTTTCTCTCTCTTTCCACTTCCAACGGCGGGAATCCGAAATGTGACGAAGATTACCCTGTATCTGAAGATCCGCAACCGTTTGAGCACTTGAAAAATAGACCCGTTTAAAGTACGGAGGCGCACCGACTTTCCCGGTTAAGTTAGATGTACGTTGTCGACGTTATACATCCCGACACTAAATAGAACGATGTACTTTGTTCATTCGGCGCAACTAAGCGTATTTGATTACATGTCGTGCTCGTGTATCAATAAAAACTCATCACAACAACAGTTGCGTGAAACAAAAGAGAAATTGTGTAAAATCGAGAAAAAAATTTTGCGAAGACGACAATCTCTTTAAAAGAGCAATTTTTTCGTGTCTCTGAATGTTTTTTTTTTTTTTTTTTTTTT